TTTTCCATCGTTGTATTTATTTATTGCGTTTTACTTGTAACCTCTCTCTGGTTTGTCAGATAACTCTATTGCAGTAACACGTGATGTGCACACCTTATTAGTTTATCATTTGAAAGTGCTCCTGAATTAATTCTTGAATTTGAGTGTTTTGACTGTCAATTCGATTAAAGTCGACCATCGTTTGGCATTTTCCAGCTCACTGCTGATATCTCAACTATAACGTTCCCAGACGAACGTCGCAGCGACAGCGTTCCGTTCGTACGATGATTACCTAACTCCCATAGTTCGTCTTTTGCTCAACTTTTACTTAGCTAGAAATTAATCCTGCCCTCTTCTGCCCCAGGGATGATTATTGCCTGTCAAAACGGAGAGTGCGCAGATATTGAGGTGCTTTTATTGGAATTCAAGCAAGCAACCTGCACCTACAGTCACTACACTCAAGTATGTCGTAGATCTGCCATTCCGAAATCTCGACCCGAAAATAATACGCAGACCAATGATGTGCTATCTGAGCCGACAGTTCCGGCCGGACGTGGACTTTTTCAAACTCTCTCCGAGGGCGCAGGGCGAGCTATCTCTGGTCTATGGGCTGCTGGAGAACAGCTCTTCGAGGACTCCTTCGAAGGCTCTGGTGATGGTTTGATGAAGCAGACCTACAGCTCTGTGGTTCAACTAACTCAAGAATATTTCAATGCAATGCTAATTACGTATGTGGCTTTATTTCACGCAATTTAAGAGACTTGGCAAAGAACGTTTAACACTTTCAGATGCCCCGTTGCATACTCTCCGGTCTAAAGCCTTTTTCGTTAGTCTGTAGTATTCTATTTCGCAAACACGAAAGCAAAAAAAGCGATATCTTAATATTAGCAAGTGATTTATGACCTACTCTTGACTGCAGTTGCGGCGAATTCCTTGCCACTAGTGGAACTGCCTTCCCTTCGACTGGAACCTAACGGACGACTTCGTAATGTAACTAAAATAATTCAACAAACTCTGGCAGCTGCTTGTCGTTCGATGAAGTGTGGAATGATTATTTTAGCTCTGTATTTTTATGTAACTACCATTTGAACTTTCCTTCTGTTCTGAGCATAAGCCTAAGATTACTCATATTAAACATTGTAAGATTGCTCTTATAGCATCTTGTAACCGTGCTAAACATTACCAGACTTTCAATTGGCGTAACTTTGACAGATTACAAACTTTCTAGGAAATTTTATCGATTCAAAGATTTAAATTTGCTGCTGTCAGCTGTCAGCTGTTGGGTTTACGTCGATTGTTCAACCAACGTAGATATAGAAATCGATTTCTTGTTTTTACTGCGTATTTGATTATTGGAGAACTTCTCTGTTCCTTCTACCTAAACGCATATTCTAAGATGATATTTTTTGCGAGAAACATTAGGCTCCTTGCCAGTGCTTTAGCGCCTTCTGACTGATATTAGAAGATGACCCATTTTTCTATCATGACTCCCCACGGTGCAGTGTGGCCAGGCAATGTCTCCAGAACAGTGTGAAGCGGATCTAGCTGATATTCTTTCCGTGACGTTGTTGGGCCTAAGAAGCCCAAATCTTATTGCCGTTGTTGCATAAGCCTCCCTCTTTTTATACTTTCAGCGCAATTGAACGCCAGAATTCAGCTATTATTACCCTGTTGCTGGAGTTTGACATGAACTTTCGTAGTATCTCCCGCCCTTCAGCTGCGCTCGG